GTAAGGCAAGGAAAAGAAAAAGCGTCTAGACTGAAAAATAAGTAAAACCATCTTTATTTGCAAGCATTATTACATATGTAGAAAATCCTAAGAAATATGGAAAAGCTACAATAACTAGTGAGTTTAGCAAAGTCATAAGATTACTAGGTCAATATTTTTTTATATTACCAAGAAACAAATTGGAAAATAAAGTTAACAAAAGCAGTCCCATTTACAATAGCATTCAAAACAGTGAAAACATTAGGGATACATTTTAATAAAGTATATGCAGACCTATTGACTATAAAACATTAAAGCTATAAAACTATAAAACATTTCCAAGACAAAAGATCTAAATAAGTGGAGTGATGTAGCATGTTTGTGGTCTAGAAGACTCATTATATGTCAGTCTTCTCCAAATTGATTATAGAGTTACTGAAATTCCAATAAAAATCCTAGCATTCTTTTTATTTTTTAATTTTTTTGAAGAAACTGACAAGCTGGGTCTAATAGTTATGTGGAAATGCAAAGAACCTAGAATAGGCAAAATAATTTTTAAAAAAACTAAAGTTATAGGACTTAGAGTGCCTGATTTTAAGACTTTATAGCTACAGTAATCAAGACAAAATGGTATTGGCATAACGATAGACGTGTAGATTAATGGAACAAAATAGAGTTCAGAAATATACACACACACACACACACACACACACACACACACACACACACACACACACCCCAATTCATTTATTTACTTTTTGGAGGTGCCAGTGTAATTCATTGAGGAAAGGTTATCGTCTTTTCAGGGAATGATGCTGTGTATCTGAGTGGAAGAAAAATTTATAATGATCATCACCTTACTCTTTTATAGAAAGTTACTCTTAAGTGGATCAGAGACCTAAACATAAAAGTTAAGACTATAAAACTTCTAGAAGAAAATATGAAAGTATTTGCCACGTTGGAGTAGGCAAAAAAAAAAAAAGGAGACTACACAAACCACAAAATGAAAATTGATAAATTTGATTTATGAAAATGAATAGGTAGCTACAGAGTGGGAAAAATTTTCACTATATATAGCTATACCTGTATAATACGTATATATTTATATCTGACAAAGGACTTATTTTTTAACAGATATAAAAATTCTTATAATGCAAATAACCAAAAGTCTTATAACACAAAACACCAGCAAAAGTTATGATTGAACACTTCGTAAAAGATGACATATAGGTGGCAAATAAAGCACATGCAGAAATGCCCACTGTCATTATGCATTAGGGAAGAGCACAGGAAAATCACTGTGGTACAAGTACACATTCACTGGAATGACTATAATTGAAAAAACTTAAGGTTTCTAGTCAAGATGGTGGAGTAGGTAAATGCTGTGCTCACCTCCCCATGACCACTTCAAAATTACAACTAAGCTACAAAACAACCATCACTGAGAATTGCCTAAAGTCTGGCTGAACAGAAGTCCTATAATTAAGGATATTCAGAAGAAGATACCTTGAGACTGGTAGGAAGAGCAGAGACAGGAAACTGACTGGTCCCACACCCACATATGGCATTAAAAATTGGGAGGGACATCTGTTTCTAGGTTTCCCCCCTGAGGAGCGAGAGGTCCCAGCCCCATACCAGGCTCCCTAGCCCAAGGTTCCAGTCCTGGGAAGAGAAGTCCTCATAACTTACAGCAGTGAAAACCAGTAGAAATTGTGACTGAGTGAGACAGAAGGCTGCTGAAATCCCAGACATTCCTCTTAGAGGGTCTGCATGTGGAATTACTTGCTGACGGACTCACTCGCTCTGAGCTCCAGCACTGGGGCAGCAGTTTGAAAGGTGCCAGGTACATACATGGAGGAATCGAATTGTTTGGCTTCAGAGTGAGGGCTGGAGGGGCAGCTTTCTCCCAGACATAAGTGCTGGCAGAAGCCATTGTTCCTTTGAGTCCCACTACCCAGCATGCACACACAGACAGGTGCCATATCTGAGTCTCCATCAACCTGGCTAACACCATTTGCCCACCCTGGTGATTCCCTGAGACCCTGCACCATTCAACTTGTTGGCCCGCTGTTTCCAGGAACTTTTTTGTGGTGAAATATACATATAAAAATTTCATTTTAACCATTTTTCAGTGTACGGTTCATTGGCATTAAGTACATTGACATTGTTATGCAGCCATCACCACCACCCATCTCCAGAACTTTTTCGTCTTCCCAAACTGAACCTCTGTACCCATTAAACAATAAGTCCTTATCCTCCCTTCCCCCAGCCCCTGGCAGCTACCATTCTGCTTTCCGTCTCTATGATTTGACTACTCTAGAAACCTCGTGTAAATGGAATCACATGGCATTTGTCTTTTTGTAACTGACTTATTTCACTTAGCATGATGTCTTCAGGTTCACGTATGTCAGAATTTTCTTCTTTCATAAGACTGAGTAATATTTCATTGTATGTATATACCACATTTTATTTATTCGTCCATCAGTGGACACTTGGGTTGCTGTCATGTTTTAGCTGTTGTAAACAATGCTGCTATGAACATGAGTGTAAAAATATTTGTTCAAGTCCATGCTTTCGATTCTTTTGGATATATACCTAGAAGTGAAACTTGATGGATCATTCACATATATATGTATATGTATATAGTGATTTTGTTAAGTTTTGAGGAACTGCCATACCATTTTCTTCAGTGATTGTACCATTTCACATTCCCACTAGCTAATTTCTCCATATCTTTGTAAACACATGTTATTTTGCCTTTTTTTTTTTTTTTGATAATGGACGTCCTAATGGGTGTGAAGTGGTGACTTGTGGTTTTGATTTGTAAAGGAAAATTTTAAGATGATTTAATCCAAACCTGTGATTTAGCAAAAGCAACGAGGTGGAAGATTTTACAACTTCCTTTTGCGAATCATTTTAACTATCAGTGTTTGCATTTGGGCATTCAGGGTTTTGTGAATATATAATGGATAGTGTTATGCTTATGAAGAATTTTTTTCTTTGTTATTGATGTGTGACAAGCCATAGCCAATCATATTTTTATGTGGAAGAACAGATAATTTGTTTTTATAATTTTATTAAAATATTTAATAGCACATTAGCCTAAAGTTTGGACAGCAAGTGGTTTCCACAGATTAATATACATGCATACCCATGCAAGACAAAACTAAACAGTGGAATTTATTATTTCTGTAAACAGTGGTTTTTAAACTATTGTCCAGAGCTTTGCAGTTCTTCTGTTTTATTTTCAACTTTTATTAAAACAGTGTAAAACTTACTCTTTCCTACTTTATTTTGAAACCACTAGCTGAACCTACTCATAAAATTATTGTTTTCATTTTTAGTGCTTGCTTTCTGTAGTATCTACATTTTACATTGTTCTTTTAGCAAGTTTACTTCAGTTTGGTAGGCTCATCAGCTGACATGGAATAACCACTTTGAAAAGATAATATGAAAGAATGCCCCAGTTATGGCTGGGTGATGAAAGTGGCTACATGTGCCTGAATAGACTAGGATTGAGAAAGGCCTGGCATCATACTCTGATATTTTTGGCATAGTTTGTTCAAGAACTTTTTTCTTCCCATTTCAACAAATAAGTATTTGCTCTGTGTCTGACATGTGTCTGTCATAGTGGATATAGAAATGAATTTCTACCCTTAAGGAATCATAGCCTAGAAGAGGTGTAGACCTATAAATAATGTTAAGTGCAATCCGTGGTCTAAATGTATAAAAAGTTTAAGAGATTTTGCAGAGGAAGAGTGATGAATTCTTGAGTATGGTCAGAGAAGGGTTGCTTTAAATAACATCTGAGCTAAATTTTGAAGGTGGAATATGAGTTTGTCAGGGTGGACATTATAGGACATTATAATAGGATGGATATTATAGGCAATGAAATCAGCATGTAGAGCAGGCACAAGTGCATGAAATAACATGGTATGTTTAAGGAATCATAAGCTGATAATTCATGTCAGGCACAAAGCGTGAGGATTAGTAGATGAGAGCTGTACTTTCTCTCATTGTCAAATAGTGCCTGAAAAAGTAGCCTAGGAATATTAATGAAATAATATAGGCAAAAAATAAGCTTTAATGCCATCACCAAGATTAATTGTAAAACTAGGACATGCATTGTATTTCTTTTTCTGAAATGCCTATCTCCCTCCTTTTTTTCACTCCCTTACTCTCTCCCTCTTTTCTTACCCTCGTGTGTGTGTTTGTGTGTGTGTGTGTGTAGACAAGAATAAATGAAGGAGAAAGGAATTAAGAATCAAGACCTTGATTCAGGTCTTGGCCCTCCTATCCTTGGATGAGCAAACTACTTTTATCTTTCTGAGCTTTGGTCTCCTCATCTATATAATATGTGCAAACTTCTGGGCTTTTCAAAATATTTTTTGAGGGAGTCACAATTTCTGAGTGCCTGGAACACAGTAGGTGTTCATATGTAGTTTTGAATAGGCAGTTTGAGAACTTCTATCGAGAAGTAAGAGAGGATAAATAGTTACAATGAATTGAGACACAATAAGCACTAAAAAATTTATGTTGCTTTTCAGGATGCACTTAATTATAAAATGTGTTCAAGCAGTTTATCTTTGTAAATTGTTTCATTTACTGTTTCGATTGGTGAGATCCAGGGTACAGAAACTATAGTACCTTTATGCATAAAATTCTATTAGATTTGAATGTCATATGCTGTTGCAATTGTCCTATGTGTTCGATTAAGAATTAGCATATATTTAAAAATGTGTTCAGTTGATCATTTTTCTTTTTAATTTGGCCCTGGCAGAAGATCTTGGACTTGGCTTCTTCAGGTTATGATTTTATTCGCTTTAATAATCTAGTTATAAATAGGCTTTTTTCCTTATATAAACTTTACTTTTTTCAGTTCAAAACTAGTGTTTTTTCTCATGCTACATTTGTTGTATCTGCAAAATGTTTGCTTTTGGAGCAGAGATTGTGAAAATCCATTTTAATGTTATAAAGTTACTGTAATACACTGTTAATATAATTTATTTCTTTACCTTTAGGGGTCCTACTGGGCAATAGACACCAATCCTAAGGAAGATACGCTGCCTACTCGGCCAAAGAAGAGAGCACGATCTGTAGAACGGGTAAAAGCTCTTTATTTAGTATGTGACAGGGCTATAATGTCAGAAATATAGATTTTAAAAGTTTATTTCCAATATAGCAAGTAAACCACAGTGAAGGTAATATTTTGTTTGTATAGCGTTTTCTATTTTTTCAGAGCCGTTTTAGGTTCATTATTTTATGATCTTAATTCTTTGAGTTGAAGTGGGCAGTTTAGGAAGTAAAAGGTTTTTGTTGTTGTTTGTTTATTTGTTTATTTTTGTGATTCTGGCACAGCTGTTGTCTGAGACTTAAATCCAGGTCTCTTGTGTTTTATTTGGGAGTCTTTTCTCTGCATATACAACATTGTGAGGACTGGTTTTATATAAGAAAACTACTCCCTTTCACTGCAACTAGTCTAATTACATTGAATTTTCCTGATTGTCTTTAAAATGCTTTTCCTTAACCATGTAATAATTATTTTGTACACAGAATTTTTAAGTGTACATGTGTTGTTTTTAAGATAATTCTTGTCTTGTGAATTCATAATTTAAATTAATTTGCAAGAATGAAGGAGAAAAAGAGTTCTAGTTGATATACTAAGTTGTTTATCGTAACATATTTTTAGTCAATACTTCGGCTGTCACCAGACATTAACTTTACCTTTCAGCTTTTCTCACTGTACATTTCCAGCATCTCAGCTAAAAAAACCACACACACACACACACACACACACACACCTCACCCGCCCCCATTCAAGACCCATTTCAAATGTTAACTACATTGTGAAGCCTTTCCTAATTTCTTCATTTATATTCTTGTAGAATTTTTACAAAGTTCTTTTATAGGATTTCTCACACTTTGTAGTAATTACTTGTTTCTATATTAGTCTCCTTTGCTGGACTGTGATCCCCTAAGATTAGAGAAAATACATATCTCCAGTGTTAGTGTTTTTCACAGCTTATAGTAGGTTTACAGACTAAATCAGGGCAAAAGGAATATGGTAAGATGAAGGAAACTGAATAAACATTTGGTCAAATAAATCTGTTCTATTTATAATAAAAAGATTAATAAGAAAAAATAAATTTAATTAGATACATACATGTGGGAGCCTCACAAAAATATGATACTCAAAGGCAGCTAGGCAGTTGAGGCTAAGGAAGGGAGTAGGAGTCTGGGGCTTCAAAAGGGAGGAAGGCAGTTCACAGGAAGGGGAGAAGAGCAAATGTTTGGTAAATAAATGTTTGTCCTGCTATGCAGGTAAATCTCTCAGGTATAAAAAGTTATCTCTGGTAGTAATTCTCTTCCTGGTATACGTCCCCTTTCTAATTTCTTTTAGGTAGTTCAGGAAGAGGTAAAAAAGCTTTTCCGGAGTCTGCTGTGTCTTTATTACCTTCAGTTTAAACTTGTCCACATACCAAAGTGGCATATTCTGGGGTGGTTTGTTCTGAATTCCCCCAATGCTGAGTAAGTAGGTGGAGTTGCAGTGGTCTAGTTTGTGAAACGGTAAGGGCCAGGGCTAGGGATATATGCAGGAAGGAGAAACTCCTCTGGGAAATTAGCATGGTACTAGGTTTCTAAATATATACCTGCAATTGTATATAGTACTGTCATTTCGCCAGTTTAGTTTCAGAAATCTTTGTTTTGTAGATACTGTTGCAGGCATTGTGCTAAGATGTTGTGGGATATATACCAAGAAAAACGAAGCATGATAAGACACACAATTCTAGCACAAGGGCAAAGTATGTGTAGAAAGTATTATAAGAAAGATATAAAATATTGTGTGCAGAGAAAGGAAAGATTATGTTTTATTGGGACTATCTAGGAAGGTTTCATGGATTATGTGGTTTGGCTTTGAGGTGGAGACAGACAAGGTAAGGTAGAGAGAACAGCATTCATTGAACACATTTTATTTAGTATTGAGTTCCTGCCATGAGCAGACTCTGTTTTGGGTGCTGGGAAAACAACAATAAACAAAACATACATTTTCTGCCCTCATGGTTTATATTCTGATGAGGGGTGGAGTGGGATGGGGTGGCTTGATATAAGAGGCTTATGATCAAAGTTAAGATTTATAGGGATGGATAAGTATCAGGACTTGGGAGAGAATATAGTAGTTCATTTTATCTGGATGAGTTTTTCCTCTTTCTCATTTATTTGCATTATTCATGCCATTCAAGGCAGGTGGGGGGGTGGAGAAAGGGGAAAGGAGGGGAAGTGTGAGCTCAAATCTTTTATATTGGAAGCATAGAGCTAAGTATTGGAGAAAATAGTGGTAAACAAGACAGGCCATACTCTCTCCTTATGAAGCTCTTATGCAGAAAAGATAAATTGGTAATGTAGGGTGACAGTAATGTTGCTTGTTGTCTCAGGGTAATTAATAGTTCCTCATTCATTCTCAAAATAGCATTTGGACAATAAATTATGTGGTCACCCTAAATATAAGGGTTTTGAGAACTCTGAGACCATATAGCAGAGAGGTATAATTTAGTCTAGGAGTCAGGACAGATTTCCTAGAAGAACTGGTATTTCAGTGAAGGCCTGTTAAATAAACAGAATTAAGGCAGATAATGAGAGTGACTGGCAGTGTGAAAGGGTAAGGGGAACTTACACATTGGTTAAAAAGAGTGCCCCAAATTTCAAGGAACTGACAGGTTAATATGGCCGGAACATAGAATCCAAGAAGGACAATAATTTCTTTTCACTTATCCTCTCCAATTAGGTTGTTTTTGTATTAATTAATGAATAAATATTCTCCTCGAATGTTTATATTTTGCTTTTTTAATTTGGCTTTGTTCAGTTCAGCCAAAGGGTATATTGTTTATTTATTAATGAAAAGTGCCCTGTCCACTGGAAGCTGCTTAGGATAGAAAAAAACAAAATTAGCTTGATATTGCCTATATGTATGTATTTTTTTGTTTTTTTGGTTTTTTTTTTTTCGAAGACTGCCAAGCAATTATACTATTCCAAGGGAACTGATGTTAAAGAATAGAAGAGAGAACTGGGTCCTAGGCAATTCTTTGTTAAATGCTTTGAGAGAATGAGTGCTCCAGATTAGTGCAGTTTATCTCTCTTATGTTGATAATCACAAAAACATGTTCTTCTTTGTTCATTCTTTGATTGCCCCCTCTTTAAAAAAAAAAAAAACAAAACACCTTAAATCATATGTCTTGGTTATTATGTAATGTTCAGTTCTTTGCATATAGGAACCTGTCATGCTAAAGCAGTGGTTCTCAGTGTGTGAAGCCTTTTCAGGGGGTCCACGAGGTCAAAACTATGTAATAAGTAATACTTAGTAAATTTTCACAAAACTTAGTAATACTAAGATGTTCCTTGCCATTTTTTACTCGTTTTCCATAAGTTACAGGACTTGTGATTTTGCCATAGATTGAATACAGAAGGATATGAGACTCCAGTGGTTTCTATTAAGCCAAGCATTAAAACAATTTAAAAAATCTATAATAATGCCATTCTTCTCACTAAGTTTTTTGTTTGGAATCTATATTTTTCACACAAAACAATATTTATGTTAACATGCAGTGCATGTATCATTGAATTTAAATTAATAAAATTTTGACTCAGTTTTAATTTCTAATAGGTAAATATCAATACGTATAGCTCACATAAACAAAAGTTCTTTGGGATCCTCAACTACTTTTAATAGTATAAAGGGGTCCTGTGACCAAAAAGTTTGAAAACTTTTGTGCTAAAGGAAGATTTTTCTGTCTATCCCAGTAGACATTCTTTTTGAGAACGGAAAAGATATCTGTCATGATTTGAGTTCCTCCAGAAGTAGACAAGGAGTTGAGCCCAGGTAGGTTGAGGGGTGGTCCTAGTAAAGTGGGGCAGTTATCAAGTCAGTTACCACTATGAGCACTTGGAGCTCAGTCCCAACTGGGGAACTCTGGGAGGCAGTTTAGAACTGTGGGGCAACGAGCTGGGCTAGTTATTCATCAGCTCTTAACCCTCTCATTGAATGAGTGAGTAATGCTGCTGGGGACATTAGCTCTCCTGTACTTTTGGCCTGCCTTGCACAAAGCCAAAGCATGCTCCCCAACCAGAAAAAACCCTCAGGCAGAGATTTGCAGATATGTGTAATAAACAGCCTTCAGAGTGTAGAGGTGAATTCAGAGGGATTATGGTCAGGTTCTGACAACGTTTGCTACATGCCTTCTTTTCTGTTGGTGGAGTGTATATGTGTGTGTTCAGATCTGTGCCTATCCCTGCCTCCTTTTTTTCACAGCTTCTTGAATTTTCATAGCCTTTGACTTATTTCTTAAATCGGATCCCCCTTCCTCCCACCCAGGAAATTCTTTAAAAAAAATACCCTTTGGAATATATTGTTTCTTGTTATTCAAAGACTCTTCCTAGTCACTGCTTAGTGTTAGCCTAAGTGCCTCATTTAAGTTTTAAAATATAGAAGTTGAAAAGGCTGTATGTAAGAGGATGAAAAGGCTATTTTTTAAGGATAGGGAGGTGACAAATTTACTGTGTTTCTGTTGTATGCGTAGCACAGGTAAGGTTCTTTGAAAGAATTGTAAGTAGGAAATAATATTCCTGTTAGAAATATAAAATTTCTGAACATTTTAAAGCTAGTGATCAAGATGGGGTGAAGCTGGTGGTAGTAAATAGAAATTCTAAAAAAAAAAAAAATTAAAACCCCTTTATAATGTATTATAGTTTACCAGCATTTTATGATCTGAAGTTTCTGTGTTAGTTTAAAAACATAGTAAAATTATGAGCAAAACCAAGTCATGTTATGAAGTCATGAGATGTCACTTTTATTTGAAGTACAAGATTTAGGGGAAATAATAGCCTGGAAATTAGGCTTAGTTTTAAAGTTAGACATTATAAGTTAGTGTTTAATTTTTCTGGCCATAGTTTTATTATATGACCATAGTTTCTTTATTAAGTGGATTGACAGCTGTATTGGCCTGGGAAAGAATCTCCCACAAGAGCAAAGGCTCTGAGGTAGAAACATACTTGGCATGAGAAACAATAAGAGGCCATGATGGATGGACTAGTGTAGGGAGGAAAGCGTGGT